CTACCTACCTACACATAAGTACCTACCCGCTACCTACCCGCTACCTACCTACCTAAGTATGTAGGTAGGTACCTAGGTATTCATAGCAAGTTTACAAGCGACCTCTTCCAAGCCATGCCCAGGTGAGCTTCCGACGTTTCATCGAGCGGGGTAATAAAGGGAGTTCATGTTGTACAGTGAGTGACTATTAGTGAATATGAGTCGAAATATGGCGGAAGTAAGACCAATTCGTCGTTGCCATACGTGAAAGAAAAAGTTGTTCATAAGAACGTGCAAGTTTGCTCGTAAATACATCACTATCCATCAAGCACTCCTCATATTGAAATCTTTCATCATCGACGTCTCTGCATCTCTCATACAATCTTTCTAACCAGGACTCATACGAAGACTTATCATAATGGAGAGCCCTCAAACCATCTCAGCAAGTGCCACTTCTTACTTGACCCTTGCCAATGGATTTTGGTTGATTATTGGCTGGGTTTTAGCCAGTTTTCTGTATCAGATCGTCTACTATCGTTTCTTTCATCCCCTTAAGGACTATCCAGGTCCATTTTTGGGTACCGTTACCAGACTTTGGTATACTTCTCAGAGCTACCATCAAAGAGAGTTGGTCGTCTATGAGGAAATCTTCAAAGAAACGAAAGGTGCTTATATTATGATGTCATTAACCTTTGAAGATTATGGTCACTAATAAATATTGCATATATAGCTCCTGTAATACGCATTTCACCTACAACTCTTCTAGTCAAGTCAGCCCTCGCTCTACCCATCATCTATCACCGCAATGCAGTCAAGTCCAGGTTCTACAGCAACGGAGGGTTTCCTGCTGAACCTGTCATAAGTATTCGCGACCATCAAGCACATGCTTATCGTCGAAGACTCATAGGACCTCCTTACTCATACTCAAAGATAATCAAGGCCGAGCCCCTCGTTGACAAGATAGTCTCGGCATGGCTTACGAAGCTGAATGAACTTTTTGTCGAGACGCGAAAACCTGTGAATATGGCAAGTTGGGCCACTTATTTTGCATTTGACACAATCAGTGAAGTGGGTTTTGGACAAGCTTTAGGCTTTGTGGAGAATGGAGAAGACGTGGGCGGATTGATTCAAAGTGTACATGATGGTATTGAGCTCTTTGGTGTCTTGGCGCATTTGTACCCTTTCGTAGAATGGTTAACATCAGGGCCATTAGGTCGGTTCTTTACCGCAACACCAGATATGAAGAATGGCATGGGTCAGCTGATGAGATGGAGAGATAAAATTATCAATGCCAGAATTACCGAAATTGAGGAAGGAAAAAAAAGAGATCGCGTGGATATTCTACAATCGTAAGTCTTCTTAGCGCTTCAAAACTCGGCATCCAGCTAATCTTTAAATCATCTAAAGATTTCTCGAGGCCAAAACACCCGAAGGAAACCCTATGAGCCGAGATGAATTGGAGGCCGAAGTTTTGGTTGTCCTAATTGCCGGAGCAGATACTACAGGTACTACCTTCAGCTCCATTGTAACAGATATTATCTCATCACCTCGCGATTATCAACGAATGGTGGCTGAGATAGATGCCGGATTTGCAGCCGGAAATCTTTCACAGCCGGTTCCCACAGCCGCAGAAGTTTCAAAGCACTGTCCGTTTTATGTTGCATGCATTAAAGAGGCTCTTCGACTTACTCCATCGTCACCAGTACTTTTTCCTAGAGAAGTAATGGCCCACCAACCCCCTTTGATAATCGATGGCAAGGTAATTCCAGTCGGTACTGAAATCAGCTGTTGCGCATACTTTGCAAACCGAGACAAGGAAATATATGGCGAGGATGCCGAGACTTTTCGCCCCGAACGATGGCTTGAAGATGATGAAAAGGCCAAGCTTTACGAGAAGTACAATTTCACTTGGGGATATGGATCAAGAGTATGCTTAGGCAAGGATCTTGCGTATATGGAGTTGATGAAAGGTCCTTTAATGGTATGTCTCTTTCCTGCTACTAAGTAATTGATAGCTTAACATCCGCTGACACTACACCCTCTCTAGTTCTTTCGTAGTTTCGACTTCAAGTTATGTAGACCGAGTAAGGAAATACCTGGTCCACCCAAACGTGTTACAGTTGGCGGTCTATTTCATTGGCAAAATATTTGGCTCGATCTACAAAAGCGCAAGGTCTGAAATGTATTAGAGTAGTATCACGAGGGGTCATCAGTGATCATATGGATTTTCAAACATCTTTTATTTATTTAATTGTGGTCATCTCTGGGTTCAAAATCATGCTTTAACGGAAAATGAAGGGGGACCGGTCAATCTACTCGATACCATGATTTTCTCGATCATTAGCTCAGAATAAATTCCTTCAATGTGTTGCTGTATGTTGAACTCTGATCTTCGTCCTAAAATTGAAATTGAAGTCACTGAGAACTTTGACTTTGCACCCACAAAGCAAGACAGATTCGTGATTTATCATGCTGCTAGATGAATGCACGTCGATATCTCCAAGTTTTAGTGTAAAGTCTACCCAATTACTGCTTCACATTCTCGAGGCTCAATCTCTCGACTATCCATTCTCTTCATTTCGCCACAGATGAAGCTTTCGGAAGTGCCGAAAAATCCCAAATACCCCGTTTCAATTCAATGCCACAACCATATTGATCGTATAGTCCTACACATTCTAGATCAAAACAAGAGAAGTCTGAAGATAAGTTATACCAATAGATCCGTTTTTAACTCATCCTATCCAGACACGGAGCCGTGCATATCTTACATAGAATGTCTTCCGGTCTAAACTTCTTGGCAAGCAATTACCGCATTCCTAATAGTTTAGCATTTCTCAACGTTGTGTAGCGCAAGTCTATTTCAAAGTAAACGCCTAGCAAACGAATATTGATACGACTTCCTAAGGCAGCAGAGAAAATATGCCATGCATTTCCTCATTCCCTGTATCGTCTAACCTTGCATTCGAAAAATCTCTGCTTCCCGTATGAATCATAGCTTGTGGCTATTCAACAGTCATGTATCTAAAATGGCAATTGCAGCCTTCGGAAGTGACAGCTATTCCTGCAAGAACCTCCCGAAGGGCAACTCTTCAACATCATGGAAGCGGAAAATCCCTGGACACAAGCGCTTCAGATTAATCAGTTGGTTCTAGACTGAAGTCTGTGCAGCCATCCGTTTGCTTTTCTATCATTTATTAGTTTTGTCGGATACCTAATTGTTTTAGGACACTTGACCGCAGTACATCCACTTAGAACGGACGGAGATATACATTTACAATGCGGCTTTCCAATTTCCTCTCCCAATTTTTGCAATCATCTTTTCGAATGATTCATACGGCCCATATGGTCCAGACCACCATTCCATCAACAGGAAATTTTTAGATGTTACACAAACTGCGAGCTACGAAAGCTTTAGATCCACCTACCTACCAATCTCATGCCACATATTCATAATTCCGGATACCCACACTGCCAGGTTCACGGAAAGACTCATGCATGCGGATCTGGAAACCGGAACATCCTCTGTACTGAAACCGATCGGGAGATTGTAGAGGTCAAGCAACAACACAGCCACAAGCTCAAAATCATCTGTGCTGCCTATGCTAGGAGAACATATTGTGTTGTACACATAATTTCTCAAGCCTTCTATCTTGGTTGCAATCTCTGTGGTATGTAGCTCTGCAGGCAATCGACTGCGCTCAAGATGCGCCCCATCTCTACAAGAAAGGGTTGTAAACGTGTGCCAAGGAATGATTTAGTTTGATCCAAGAGCAGATGTTGAGTTCTGGTGGTTTTTTCAACGCTGCTGTGATTTTTAGGCCCCAACAACCAACCGACTCTCACCATCTCTCCTGTCTTAAATCTGAAGCTATAACATTCCGAAGAGAGCCTTGTTTAACACAGCATCGCAAACCAGTTTACTGCGCCAACCACTTTCTAGCCTCCAAGCCCCCTTTCAAATGTCTCTCAAACGCCTTCCGAATACTCCCCAGTAGGTAGTCATCATCACTCCAAATACCTCACCGCACATACATCCAAGACCGGCTTTTCGCATCCTGCCTAAAGCTACAGTATCTTCCCGACAGCACCTCCTATGATTCATCTACACATCAAGAACTGCAGCATCCCAGCCCAACTATTGAATCACACGCGCGTAGCCATAGTACAGCCGTGTTCGTTTCCCAACGCCTCACCTGCATTTCCCATTTTCCCATTTTTCAAAACACTAATCAGTCCATACCAGCTTCTGGCTCCCCGCATCTCGCATCCTAAACAAACCCGTCAAATCAAATTTCCCGCACAGCATGCAATACACACATCAGCAACATACCAACAAACACACAACATCCTCCAAACCTCAACAGCGCCTCCGAATCTCAAATCAAACCCAGCCTGCACAAAACTACACACCAACTACCGGTTTCCCACCACCATACTGCACCGCACTACAGAATCTAACTCTCTCTTTTCAAACAAAACTTGCTTGTCAAATTCGGTATGTCTCATATGCATGTATGGATGACTGGAACCGCCTACATACTTAGCTCGCTTGGCAGATGTTACACCGCCTATCTGTTGTTACACCAAAGCCTTTGGTTCACACGCGTCTTTACGCCACGCCGTCTTACATACAAAATTTTGAGAAGTGTTGCGAGTAAGTAATGAAAGGATGTCGGTCATGCATTCTGATTCTGGGTAGTGGGAAACGTGATTGAAAATGGATCATGTGGTTTGTATATCACGTGGTGTGGTAGGTCAAGAGCTTCAATGAAGGGGAGGCAGAAGAGAAAGATGGGGTTAAACTTAAACTCATAAGATTGATGGATTAAATATCATACAGAAAAGCTAACTAAAAGCTCCAAATAGAGGATATACATAAATAAACATACATAGATCTACAATATACTCCCAAACTCCTCTTCAAGCCAAACTCCCCTTTCCAATATCTTGTACCATCCTAGTGAACCAGCCCCCTTTCCAAGTCAAAATCCTCGCTTACTCCTTATCCCCATTCCAATTTCCTAGGTCCCCATCCTCCCGATTCCCTCTTCCAACCAGTCTACATCAATCTTCGTAACCTCTCCCTCATACTTTCCCTCTTCCCTCACCTTATTCACCAAGCCGCTCGTACTCTTCAATCTCTCCCTCCATCCTTCTACCCACACATACGCCAATTTGTATTCTCCTTTTGCCACCTTCCTCTCTTCCATCTCCTCTGTTCTTTTCTCAACCTCATCTTTCCCCTTCTCCTCCACTTTCCTTGTCATTCTACCAGCTCTCCATCTCATTTTTCTAGTCCTTCTATACCCCTTTTGTTTCCTTAAAGATACAGGGTGAACAAGTCAATTTCCATCCTTCAAAAGAGGCTCCCTCTCCGCACCCCTCATGCCCCCTACTCCTGAACCTCCCATCCATCCCGCGCTCCCCTTATCCCCACCATTTGTAAAATAGGGATCATCTTCATCTCCATATAGTTTCCCCCTATCAAAACTTCCACTACTTCTATGCCCCGGTAATCCAAAGGCCGGACTAGGCAATCTTCCATCGCCATCTAGACTCTTTGGCAGGAAGTCTGCATCTGTATCTGGATCATAGTCATCTTTTGCATTGATGTTGGCATTCACATTAGCATTCGCGTTTGCATCCGCTTTCACATTCGCGTTTTCCCCAAAACTCAAACTCGATCGCTTTGACAAACTCTCACTCCTGCTTCTCAGGCTCGAGACCGAAAGACTATGTGGTCTGGTTTGAACCGGTGTATTCGAACGATTTGGTGAACCAACATTGAAAATGCTCATTCCGGAAAGCGGTCTCTGTTTAGGAGGTGGACTTGAATCATTTGCTCCTGCTTCGAATAGAGAGCGTGTTCTAGCGAAGATGGAACTAACAGGTCTTGGATTACGTTGTGGGGATGCGGTTTCTTTTTCTTGAGTTGTGGCTGCAGTTTTGGCGGGATCTTCTGACTGTGTCCAAGGAACGGAATGGAGATTTGGTGGCAGTTGAGAAGTCGATTTTTCTTCGGTCTGAGTTGGAGTCTGAGCCGTGAATATTGGGGTTGATGCGGGTGCATTAGAGCTCAAGATCTTCTCGGGAGGGATAAGTGATGGTGGAGTTGGTGCTAGGACTGGAGGATATTCTTGATCCATATGCACGTTGCTTACGTGAAATGAAGATGAATGTGCAGGACTTTCAATTGGAGATTTGTATTCTTGTGGGTTGAAAGGATCAAATTCGGCGGCATCTTGTAGATTAGGAGATTTGATAATTTCATCAAGGTTTTGTTCTTGATTTGCTGAATCATCCTGGGTATCATCATTTTGATGTGACCATCCTTCAGAAGATTCGAATTCCGTTGACATCATCTGACTAATGTGTGGTTGTTGAGACACAGGATCAGAATATTGTGGTTGTTGAGGTGGAGTTGGAGGACCTGATTCACCATCATCTGATGCATAATGTTCAAATGATGGAACTGTATCAACTGTATGAGAACGGTTACGACCATTATCGTTGTTCAATTGAGTTCTGTAATCTTGTTGCTGATCACCTTCTTGCGAATATCCCCAACCATTATAGGCGTTGTTAATAGACGCATCTAGGTAATTTCGGTGTTCATCTGGTGGAAATCTTTCAGATCTTGACCTAGGACTCAATACAGGTGACTGATGTGGTTCCGGTGAAGGTGTTAGACTGCTTCTGATTTGGGAGACTCTCGAGAATACTGCCTCATGTTCTGGACTCAAGTCACTATTTCGGTGATACAACGATGCTGGACGTCGAGGTTTAGGTTTTGGAGTGAGGTTGTTATTTTCGACAAGATCTTCATCCTCCACAGGCTCGGACTTTCCACGATTTTCCTCAATGTCAGGACTTGGCTCCAACACTCGTGGTAGATCCGTAGCGTTAGAAGCAGTTGCGTTTTCAATTAGTGCTTCTGAACTGCCATCGATTAAATTATCTGTGCCGCTGACTTTGTGAGGTGACTCTGTTTCTTTGACATCGGAGCCAAACATCAATGCCATTGGTGTCTGTGGTCTTTTGCTTGGCCCAGAATTTGAGATCTCAATATTGGATCCGCTTGGATGGTCAAGCTCGTCTTGAAGGATCCCTGTGGAGATTTCTTTGATAGCTGGATTTTCTGACTCTGATACTAACGGGTTGTTATCTCTTTGTTCTTTCAATCCATTCCCATCAACAGAGTCCTCATATTGCCAATGTGGATGGAAGAATCTACTCTTGGGAATGTATTCTTCATCTTCATCGTCGTCCTCGTGATCTTCGCCGACACGGGAGGCACCATCATGTGATTCTTCCCGGATAGTCTCAAGATAAGGAAGCGGACCCTCCTCTTCTTCTTCTGAGGATTGATCCCATTCGTTTTCGCTTTCAGAATAATTCTCTGTTTCCTCACCTTGCTCGGTCCTTTCACCTTCTGAGCCCGAATCTTGTTGATTGCGATCTTCATGCTCATACTGTAAGGCTCCAACTTCCTCATTTGGCTCGTCTGTGGTTAACTCGGCACTTTGTTCCTCACTTAGTACTGCGTCTGGCTGTTCAAAAGGGTTTAAATGTTCATCTTGCTGAATGAGTGCGGTATGAAAATCTTCTTCTTCCGTGTGTTCTTCATTTTGAGGAGTTTCGGTCAGGGTAGCCGATGACTCTTCCGCTTCGAGTGTTTGAGGTTTGTTTTCATTGACAATCTGGCTCTCTTCCTTTTCACCCTCAATTTCAGCAGATTTATCCCCACTCTCTTGTTGTTGACTAAGCAATTTCATTTGCTCATTTAACAAGGCAATTTCTTCTCTCGCTGCCATATCTTCGGCACTCTCTCTTCTTGGTCTCTCTTGCTCCGCTTCAACAAGTTCACTTTTGTCCATATAATTGCTATTCTTCTCGGTGCTTATGTCAACAGGTTTGATCTCTTGTTCAGCAGCTTGTTCCTCCTCGACAGCTTTCATAAACTCTGCGTTCAAACGAGCAATCTCCTCTCTAGCACGAACATCTTCAGGATCTTCGTGTTGTGTTTCTTGAGGTGGAGGAAGAATATCTGGATTAACTACTCTCAATTCCGGCCCAGTTTTGATTTGTTCTGATTCGACAGCAGCAGGTTGTTCATTCTCTTGAGTTAATGGTTCGTCGTGGACGGGTTCAGAATTTGTTGAGTCATTTGGACTTATGTGTGACTCATCTTCTGTCTCAAGATCGATAGGATGGTCAGTTTCTCTGGACCCTTCAATGTGATGGTCTTGTGTCTCGTCGAACTCTCTTTCTTCATGAACAGCATCGGCACTTTCGTCATTGACTCTGCTCTTCTCATTATCGTTGTGTCTCTCGGCATTTATCTGTTCTACCTCAGACGGCACTTCAGATGCTTCGCTATTCAAGCTTTCCAGGGCAGATATCTCTGGTACCGTGGTAATGGTCTCAGGCACGGAATTTGTATCTTGTTGGCTTTCAGGTTCTGCTGTGCTCTCTTTCAATGGTGTTTCATCAGCAGGATACACTGGTTCCTCAATACAAGTGGTGGGAAGTTCCTTGTCTTCAAGATGCTCTTGAGTCTCCACAATATCATCATTTGTCTGCTCTGGGACTTCTTCGACTTGTTGATGTATTGGCGCCTCATTTTCCGAAGTCAATGGCTCAGTCTCAATCACTTTTTCCGACCTTTGACTATCCTCAGATGGTATTTGACTTGATGTCATTGGTTCCACACTTTCGATCATGTGAGAAGGAGACGATTTACTATCCTCAGGATTTTCTTCGTGGCTCATTTCATTTGAATCCACATGATTCTCTTGTTGAGCCACGTCACCTAAGTGGGAACTTTCATCATCATCAACAGCAGTCTGTCGAATTGTGGGCGAAGGAAGTGGTGACCCAACATCAAGATTCAAAGCTGCTTCTCCAGTGCCTTCGAACTCTTCAGGGCCAGGCGTAGGTGTTTCCTCAAGTATTGGTACTTGCACAGTACTGTTAGCCTCTGCCAGCGGTTCTTCGCTCTCTTGACCGAGCTTTAGACTTTTTTCCTCGGTGTCAGGAACCGATATCTCAGAGATAGTCTCCTGTTCTTCAGAAGCGGGCTCACTCTCTGATGCATTGCTATTCTCTTGCGGGACAGCAGCCGACTCATCAATTCGGTACTTGATATGGCCTGGCAATTGAACAGTATCATCAGTGCTCTGCGAGATCTCATTTGAATTGCTATCAGGAGCTTCTTCATCCGGTCTCTCGTCTGTTGTTACGTCGCCTTCGATTGGTACGTCCAGATCACGTGCACCAGCATCAGGAGACTCAACTGCCTCTTGGATTTGTTCTGGGACGGTAATAACCGGCTCGGCAGCTATCTCGGTCTCTTCGATGGTATCGTCTGAAGCGATATCACGACTTTCAGTTAACTCCATTTCGTGATTTGTATTGGTGTCGGTTGCAGGATTTGAAATAGAACCAATTTCAGGATACTCGAAATGATGCTCTTCTTGCGGCGGATCAGTAGCTTCGTCGACAACATCATTGTCCTTACTAGCAGGTTCAAAATCTGTAGGTAATACATGAGTTTCAGAATCCTCATGGCCTTCGATGTCTGCCGACTCCACATCCAGAGTTGGCTGTGGGAATGTTTCATTGGGGATGCTTCTCGCCTCTCCCACTTCTGGTAAAACAGCTGGCAAAGCTTCCTGTTTTTCGGGAGCGTTTACGCTCTCCAAAGTTTCGGCGTCTTCAGGGTTTAAATCAGTGCTTGCAGTATCTTCAAGGCCCTTTTCAGACTCTTTGATTTGCTCAGTGTGATCTTGGTCTGGAGTTACGTTCTCATCTTTAGATTTGTTCTCGTGTTCCGACGCCTTGGCATCTGTGGACTCTTCGCCAGCAACATCTTGCTCGGCCATAGTAGGCTGTGTGTCTTCAATCGAATTACGCAAAATTTCGGAAATAGCATCTGCAGTATTTGTTGGTTCGATAGCTTCCTCTTGGTCTTTGTCAACTTCTGGTAGATCGTTTGACAAGAGCTCAGACTCTAGTTCTGGTTCCTCATTAAGCTCATCGCTCTCTGATTCTACTGGCTCTGGCAGTGGCGTTAGAATTGCCTTGGCTTCAGATTCATCGGGTGCAATCTTTTCAATTTGATTGGCAGATTCCGAGTCATCATGAGTGATCTCTGGTGCCTCATCTAGTTGATCAACCTCTGTATCGGCTGGCTCCGGGAGTGGGGTTTCAATTGCTTCTTCCACGGATTCCTTTAAAAAATCTGAATCATCATTGTGGACCAGCTCCGGTTCAACCTGAATTTCCT